TTTATTTATAACTATAACTATTTTTGAAAAATAGTCGCTGGAGGGGTCTGAAAAGTCACTGAGTTGGCAACACTGCGCACCTGCAGCGCTGGTTCACTCTGCCTTATTTTTTTTTTCTTCCCCCGTTTCAGTCAAGTGGATGTGATGACGGCGGCGGCGGATGACGCATTAATTGCGCGACACAACTAATCGATGATGAAATTCGTTGCCAACGCTTTTAAAAGTCGATTTTTATCGATTCGTTGTTGCAGCCCTAATAGAATCATTTGCAAAACTGATCATTCACAGCTATTACTTGACAAATTCCTCTAAAAACAGCAGCAGCACCAAGCAATGGCAAAAAAATCTTTCCTTCTTTACTGTTTTTCTCATGGAAAGATATTTTTATCCAAACAAACATCTGGTATGCATCCAACAGCTTATTATTCTGCTAAAAGCTGCTTCCTTTCTCCTATTTACGGTACTACAGCACAGCCGTATTTGGGAACGGTACCTTTGCTACCTCTGCTCCTGTCTTCTGTCCATCTAATACTGGTCTGCATCATTGGATTCTGTATTCAACAAATGGTTATATAGATATGCTACTGCGTCCTCTGGCATTTTTTCTACTTGGCTTTATATATATAATGATCTGAAAAAGATAAAACCTGTGATTTTTGTCTTTTTAATACCAAATATATAGCAGCATTCCAAATTTTAAATTTCAAGAATAAATTCCAAACTTTCTAAATAAGCACAGTAGGAGTTTGCTACAATAAAAATACAGAACCACATAAAGATAGCTTTCAAATTCTGTGTATGAAGTTTCTGTATTTTTATTTTAATGAATAGTTAATTTTTAATATATATTTTTTGTAATTTTTAATGTTTTAATACAAAAAATAATATATTTTTTAATAGTTATTTGTTTTTTTATTACTTTCTGTAATTTTTTTGGGGGGTTTAATTCTTTCCATATATAGTTTTCACTTTTAGACAGTGCGACTCCGCCTTAAACTTCTAGGATTATCCGAGGGAAGAACTTGAGTTTGGTGAAAACGAGCAAAGCGGCCATCAAGTTATTCTTCTCCCTTAAAGAACGTTAAAGTTTTACATCCACTGCAAATACCTAAAACTCCTTTTTGTTTTTTCCATCAGCTGCTTCAGGCGATGTCCAGGCCTACCAGATCCGGACTGCTCCGACCAGCACCATCAGTCCAGGGGTAGTCATGGCAACCTCTCCCGCATTGGGATCATCAGGAGGTACAGAGGAAGTAACACGGAAAAGGGAGGTTCGACTGATGAAGAACAGGTGCTCCTTCTCTTTATCCCTTAAAAAAACTAAATTACTAGTTTACTTGTGAACGGATGTGATGATGTCATCTGCTCTGATTGTAGGGAGGCAGCCCGGGAATGTCGCAGGAAGAAGAAGGAATACGTTAAGTGTCTGGAGAACCGGGTGGCCGTGCTGGAGAACCAGAACAAAACCCTCATCGAGGAACTCAAAGCCCTCAAAGATTTGTACTGCCACAAATCGGAGTAGAGGGGGGAGGAGGAGGGGTCCCCATGTACAGAGACTCAGCTCAGAGCCACGCATCCAGAGGCCACGCCTCCTTTTCTACTTCCCCCGCTTTCTAAAAAAAACAAACAAACCCAACAAACTGCTGATTAATCTGAGCAGGAATCACTGGGACAGAATTAGCCCCGCCCCCCCATTGGTTCCCCTAGAAACAGAGGACATTTCCAGGAAAGCATTCCAGTCACTGGTGTCCCAGTTTAAACTGGGACAGAATCACCAGCAGAGGATGGATGAGGGGGGGGTGTATTTGACCTGTTACCCTGAACTGGAGGTGGGATGCCATGTTTTTTTTTTTTTTTTCTGCATTAATCTGCCTTTTTATTTACTTTTTAGGACAAACGGCTAAACATGAACTCAGCTTTAAACTCAGTATTAAAACCTTTGTTGTTTTTTTGTTTTGTTCTTAAAGGAAAATTAATCTATTCAGTTTTTAAAAAGACTCATAAACAGAATAAATCAGGGTGAGAAAGTAAAGATGTTTGCTAACTTAGGAGGCAGAAAGCGGTTATTCTAGATGAGTTTTTCTTCTTTTAAAAGGAAAGTGAATCTAAAAAAAATGTGCTCACTTTTATTTTTGCTGTATTTAGTTGTTTTATTAAACAAAAGTAAGCATGTCGGGTTAAAAATGGCTTTTATACATATGAACTTAACGGTTGGCAAGAGTTTTGAAAACAGGTTCTGATTTTGACGGAAAAAACTGAGAAATTGGGGCAAGTTCGAGAAAAATGGGGAAAAATGTACAACTTAAAGAAGCGCTAATGTTTTTTTTTTTTTTACTAAATCCATTGATTGAAACATTTGCTGCTAAAACCTAGTTTTAAAATATAAACAATTAGTGAAGGTGCAGCGATATGAAAATCTGGGCCAATATTTCTAGATACAAACTGCACTGCCTCACTGTCACATGAACGGTCCCCGTTCCACTGATTGGACCGGTACCGATATTTTCAAACAGTCCAACATTAGAGCACCAATTTTAACACCAATAAATCCTAAATCCCACGGTTTTAAAGGGGTCATTTCTGTTATAAACAACCTTTTAGCGAACAATATGCCTCGGTTTTTGGGGAATATGGGGGGAAATCTGTTCCATTATTGTTGCAAGCAATATATACAAGTTTTTTAAAAGTAAAATAATAAAAAAAAACATCCAGAGATTAAGTTTTTATAAACTTTATAAAAAAAAAAAAATTTCAGCTAAACTTTTTTCTTTCTTACAAATGTTATAAGTTAATATTTTATTTTAGCTGAGATTTTACCTACGGTAACATTTCTCTTTTTCCAAGTTTATTTTTACACATTGCATTGAATTTTGCTCTACTGTTCTAATTTATATTTTCACATTTTTGTGTCTTGGATGAAGTTTTACAAACTACAATAACTGCGGTTTGCATTTTACAGATCACATTCTCTTCACTTTGAGCCCAATACAAACACCCGCCTTTGACCAATAAAAAAAGTTGTTGCTAACGCTGATGCGGACCAATAGAAACGCTTCTTCTCTCACGCTCCCAGAAGACAAGAGAATGTGAAATGTAGAACCCAATTCCATAAACACTGTCTGGAAAAGGGAAAATTGAAAATATAAACGCGGTTTACCAAAAGTTTTGAATATGAATATTAAAAAAAACAGCAAATTGAATCTCAAAGCCTTATTTTTTTTTTATTCCATTTACAATTTTTTTTTTTTTCTTTTGTTTGCAACAATAATGAAACAGAATCCACTCCATAGGGGAGGAGCTATACGTATAGCCCCTCCCTCCCATATGGGAGTCTGTAGGTAAACAAAGCAGCGTTTGCACTTTCTTTGCTTTTGCAATCCTCCAGTCATTTCACAGAGCTCATAAAGCTCAGGCTGCTGCCTGTTGTTCCTCCAAAGGGTTGAAACAAACACTTTTAATAATTCCTGAACATGGATTTGGTCTGAGGCGATTCCAGCGCCTGAAAACGGGAATATAACGTCTGACCAAATCATAGGAGAGAACGCAGCTCATCCAGGATGCCATATTGTACTCTTATGTATAGTCATGAAATAGTTTGCTTTTTCTTACATTTTTATTCACGTTTTTCTAAATGTCGACTTGTACATCTGTGCATTTATGTTAGAGCCATATAAAAGAGATTTTTGGCAGCTGATGATCGTGTTCCTGGTCTTTTTTTTATTTAAAAAGTTGTCATAAATCCCTCCTTTTGGGCGGCCTGCGTGCCTCGTACACGTGGATGTCCCTGTCTTTGTCGTAGTGGACCTCCTCCACGGAGAAGCGGCCCCTCAGCATGCTCAGGAAGTCTGTGTCCCGCTCGTAGCGGATCTTACAGGCCAGTAAGACGATGGTGTTCTCTGAACAGAGATGCTCTAAGGTCTGCAGAAGGGATGGAAACGTCTCCTCCAGGTAAACGATGTCGGCACCCAGAACCAAATCGAATCCTCCCTGTGGGAAACGCTGCAGGCCCTGACCCCAGGTCAGTTCTGAGACCACCACCGAGGAGCGGGATTCTGGGGGCAGGTTGGCTTCGACGTTGGCTGAGAGGAGCTCCAAGGCAGGCTGCCTGTCAGTGATGGTCACATTGGCACCTGAGAATAGGAAAAAAAACTCATTTCCTGATGTTTGAAGGTTGTTTTTTTTAAATATCAGCATCAGAACAGGAGGCTTATTAAAAGCCAGGCATTTATTTAGACGCCACAATGGTTTAACAGCTGCTACGCCTTTTTTTTTTCCCCCCATTAATCAACCACTAATGAAATTATGCTAACTTAAAGGTACGGCTATAAGTTTCACATAAAATCTATTTTTCTAAAATCAGATATCCATAGAATGTCCAGGGATGTAGAGTAAAAGTAGTGATTTAGTTTAAGAAAATGATATAGTTTGTAAAATGTGTTACAAATATTGATTGTAGTAAATATTTACATCTGGTTATAGATGGACTGAGAGCGATTACTGAGTGCTGCTTTATTTTTTAACAGATATTTACTCCTAAAATGTAAACATAAAAGGTTTTAATGTTTCAGTCAGATGAGAAAATTGTTGCTATGTTTGCAGCATCTGTGTCTGACTGCTAATTGAGTTCTGGATTGGGTTGATTTATATAAAAGAAAACATTTAGATCAGCGAGTGTTAAGTAGCAAGATGAAAAAAATTTACTTTTTTTTTTTATTAAATCGCAACACAGCAGCCAAAGAAGGACCGGTTGTAGGTGAAGCTTTTTTTCCACTTAAAATGGAATAGAGATATTTTTTTAAAATGTTGAAATGTAGAAATAAGGAATGTGGTCAAGAGGTATTTAAATTACTTTTTTAAAAAGTTTTATTTAGTCCTAGAAGCATTGTTCATCCTTCCTTATGCATCGGGTAGATTTACAAGGAAGAAGCAGCTCTGGATGAACCAAAGTGGAGTATTTTTTTTTTCCAGATCTTTTGGGGGTTTTCCAAAAAACTTTGGTCTCCCCAAGTTGAATCAAAAGTTGTTCATAGAAAACAATTTAGCATAATTCCATGATCTTAAAGGGGAACACCTTTTTTTTTTTTTGTTTTTTTTACATTGGCCCCTTGATTGTACGTTATTCCATCATGTTCTACTCACCCATATGAGTTTTGTGTCATTTGGAGCCGTTCTGAAGATATTCTGTTAGGTTATATCCAAGTAACGTCTTCCTATGGGCAACGACTTGAAGGCACAAACTAAACTGTTCATAATTTATTCTTTATGGTACGCCGGCATTCATAACATGTGGGCGAATAACTGTCCCCCAGACATCCGCGGTTATATTTTTTAAACAAAGCGAAGTGTGTATGATGTCATCAGTCCGGCCTGCAGCTGCACAACACAACTGATGGTCCCAACCCCATTTATAAGGCAAGAAATCCCACTTTTTATACCTGACAAGGGCCACCTGTGAAGTGAAAACCATTTCAGGTGACTGCCGCTTGAAGCTCATCAAGAGAAAGCCAAGAGAGTGTGAAGCAGTAATCAAAGCAAAAGGTGACTACTTGGAAAAACCTAGAATATTTTCAGTTGTTTCACATCTTTTTGTTGAGTATATAATTCCACATGTGTTAATTTTTAGTTTTGATGCCTTCAGAGTGAATCTACAATGTTCATAGTGTTGAAAATAAAGAAAACTCTTTGAATGAGAAGGTGTTTCCAAACTTTTGGTCTGTACTGTATATATATAAAAAAACACAATAAAAATAAAAAGCTGCCATATGTGAATGCACTCTATATACTGTTTATATCCGAGGCACCTTTTTCTTCCTTTGGCACCTTCTTCTTCTCCTTTGACTATTTGAGCTGACGTAACGAGTACATTTCTCCTCTGTGAGATCAACAAAGTCAATCAAAAACAAAAAATAAACATCTAAGAAAATAGCAACATTTATTTTCTGGTTTTATTAATTTTTTATATATATGTATATTTCAATTTACAAATAGTTTTCTTTAGAACAATATTGGAACAAAATTCACTCCCTAAAAACTTTGATCTGGGATCAAATAAAAACTTTCCGTAAAAGTCAGTAATATAACAATAGTTATTATTATGACATACAGACACAAAAAAAGTAATGTTTTAATGAAGCAACATTAGAATGAAGCCAACCTGATTAAACTAGATATTATAGTGTGTTTTGTTTTCCAGAAACAGAAGCTCAAGCTTAGAGCTGCAATCATTGAGGCTAAAACAAGCTATTTAGTTTTATGATTCTGTAGAGAAGATTAGTAGAAAAACTTCAGTTATTTAATGAAAATAAATTATTCTGGTAAATTATGAAAGAAATTTTCATTTAACATGCTTATAAATTTTTTAAATATGAAAAACAAATATTTTCACAATACTTTTTTAATTAACCGTCTAACAGAAAAGGTTATTGACAACAAAAATATAATTGCAGTAGTTTTATTCCTTTTAGATTCTAAATATCGGTGTTGGTACCGGTCCAATGAATCAGACTGACCCATCAGTGCTGCAACAATCCCCACCAGTCCGGTCCCAGCTCCCAGTTCAATGGCCTTCCTCCCTTTTAGCTCCACGGCCCCCAGCTCCAGGTACATGCACAGAACTACTGCCTGAGGAGAAAAGCTTTATATTTAGATTTTCCTTTCTTATTGTAGCAGATTTATCCCCATCCAGATGGTAGTGAGCCACTCACCGCATCCCAAACAACAGCGGCCACCCCCAGCCTCCTCCAGTCCTGAACCAGACGGAGCTCCTGGTTAGCGAACCGGAACTGAGCTGAGGAACTGTGGAGTTTGGAAAGAGCTGGAAGCGGGTTTTCCTCATAGGGAACCAGAGCCATGTTCTACAATAACACCTACAGCTTTCATAAAGCTAAAAGCTACTTATACCCACTAGTAAACTTCCGTCTTTAAAAAAATTATTAATTTCAATTTTTTTCAGCAGCAATTTCAAAAAGAAATATTGGTTTAACTTCGCAACAACAAAAAAACACACAAAAATGTCCCATACTACTTTAAACCAACGCATCCGGGTTTTTTTCCCCCGTCGATGGAGCAGTTGGCCAATCACGTAAGAGCTTCAATGCTACTGACCAATGAGAAACCGTGTTTTTGTGAGGTTGTCCGAGAGGCGTGTTGTCCTGGTGAAATCAATTAGCTTCCAGACTGTTTGGCTTCCGTTCGATCGGCGGCGGGGTTTCAGAATAAAAGACAAAGATACAGAGAACCAACCTCCAGATCAAGCTGTAGTTTGTATCCTTATAGGAATATAGTGGAACCGAATGTAGAACTTAATGCTTTCTCCCAGAGCAGAGGAAAATAAAGTACAAAAGAAATAAAATTTGTTACACAATTGCTAAAATGTTAAATATTTTGTATCATGTCTGCACGCATTACTTGTTCTTTATTTAGGCAGTTAATATTTCATTTTCTCTGTGGCTCTGGAGCCAAAGGTGGCAGACTCCTAATCTTAATAATCACTAACCAGTGGCTTTTTTTAATTTTATTTAATTTTTTTTTACCTTTATTTATTTTGTTCACCAGTAAGTTTGGCTCTTGTTTTGAAATGCAACTACCGGAAGCTTCCGCTCAACGTCGCTACGCCGCGCCGCTGTGACGTAGAGGACGTCTCTCCTGCAAATGCGACGAGATAGACATTTAATACTGTCTTTCTTCCCGTACTCTCACTTCTGTTTGGAGGGTTTTCCAGCTGTTGGATCCGTGTTTTTATCCCCCGTGGGTCAGCCCGGGACTGTGTTGGATCCTTTCGGCTGCCGCGGAGATGGATTGATCCATTAATCCAGGCGGAAAGGGGGGGAGAAGAAGCAGAGCCGAGCCTGGAGAGAACTGAGCGTTAGCCGGATAGCCATGGAGGCAGTCAGAACAACCCGGGAATGTTGTGTCACTAAAAACTCCGCGTTGTTCAATCGGATCAGATTCTAAATCTTTATTATATTGTGAAACTGTTGGTTTCTTCCACGCAGATCCTGCAAAACTGCGTGCACGCGCCCTGAATATGTCAACCGTCTGTGCAAACTATACAGAGACCTTAATAGTTACTCCATACATCTCTTCCTGCAGCCTTAAATTCCAGTTTTCACAAACTTTAACCCCATAAAACTGATTTAATGTGTAGAGTTGGTATGTGTTTTTAAGCATACCCCCTCCCTCCTCTCCACCCTTAAAGGTTTAACTTGAACTTTGACCCCTGGACTGCAGGCTGTCAGCAGGAGGCCCAGCTGTAGTTATATGGGAAGCAGCTCTGGCTGCAGCAGGGCAGCAGTAGGTCAGCAATGGGAGGCTCTGTGTCCTGCTGCTTCTCTCCGGGGGAGAGTCCAAAGCTCCACAGGAGACACGTGGACCTGGATGAGTGTCCCATCACCACCACAGAGGACGTGAGCGAGGACACCGGGACTTACCTGCAGCACATCAGCGACAGAGAGCTGCCTGACGGTCTGTTCGCCTCACAGGCGGTGGGAAGACCCTTTTTGCTGTGTTGTTAGATTAAACAAAATGTTTTCTTCCAACAGAGCTGGCCCAAGAGGCGAACCCTTCGGACCACCCCAGAGCCAGCACCCTCTTCCTCAACAAGTCCCAGACAGATGGTGGGTATGCCCCCCCATCTGTGACACTCACTTACTGTTGCATTATTGGTCTGATTTATTGCGTCTTCTCATTCCAGTGCGCGAAAAAAGGAAAAGCAACTACATGAACCATGTAAGTCTACATTGGTTTAGATTCACAGCACCAAAATAAAATATTCAGTTTAAATAATTAAACTTCTACTGCTTTCTATCAACATTAACTAAAGAATAAATTGCAAATGTTCTCTTTTAGATCAACAGTTTTTAATAAAAATACAAAAATAAAAATTTGAAATAAGTTTTTTTTACTAGGATATAAAAGGTCTCCAACCTGGTAACTGGCTGTAAGCTTTCATAGAGCCTGGTTGTTCAGGGTGATGAAGGAAAGTTGCCTTACACCATCACATCTGATGGTTAAGCACAGCGTCGTCTGCATAAAGTCAAATTAATGATGACTTTTGTTCTGGCGTCTCATTTTTTGTTTTTCGCGCTAAACGTAACTCCAGTAAAAAAGTCTCCACAATGGGGTACTGTTGCTTATTGCGCTCTTTCACCCTACATCACAATCACATCCAGTCCCTGATTGGTTGATGCCATCAAGACAAAAAAAAAAAAATTGACATTCTATCTCCATTGAACATCCATCCCAAGTGTCGTGTCGCTAACACATGGCTGGAATTGCCTAAATCAAACACAGGGCATCTCTAGAAACGTGCACCTTGTGCTCGCCAGTGCATGGGATTAACATGTAAATGTATTGCTCCTGTTGTGGAAGAAGCATTTGGTTTGAACGCAGCATAAATGGCTGCACATCCTTTTACGAAATTGTAGCTTTGCTTTCGTCATTGGCCTTTTTTTTCCATTTTAGTCAGTTGGTTTGGGCCTTGGATCTTTGCCACAGATGCCAAATTTTCCTTGATTGAAATGCCACAATGTAAAAAAGAAAAAAAAAAAAACATCAAACAGAACCTTAATAATGGTTAGCAAATGGAGAGAGTGGTGATGAATAAACTTTGTAATCTGAAGGGATGGCTGATACATTTGTGAACGAATGACAAACTGCTGCGCGTATTGTCCAATACAAGAGAAGAAAAACCGTGATAATATCCAGCCAACGTATTGATCAACTTCTAGGACCAAGGGGCGACAGTGGCGTTGGATGTAGGAGTTTGCCCTGAAATCGAAGTAATGACGGTTCAAGCCCTGGTGCCGACTTTCAGTGTCGTGTCCTTGGGCAAGACACTAAACTTGCATGCTTCTGTCACTGCTGAATGTAGTGTAAAGTGCTTTGGTCAAGTCTCCTGACTTGAAAAAGCTCTATATAAGTACAGGCCATTTTACCATTTACCAAATGTGAAATGTGAAACCTTGTGAAATGGCTGATTAAGGCCAAGAGGAAGGGATCCAGACCATATCAGGAAAATTCGCAACACCATAACATCTCCCAAGCCCCCACAAAGGCGGCGGATTCACTGCCTGGCCGTACCCTTCGCCACAGACCTCCAGTCTCCACCGACTCAGCTTAGGGCAGGCATAACCTGCACAGTTGATTTTTCATTCAATTTGACTAAGCGGAGTTTGAGCTTCATTGTGCATCGTGTATACAGGGGGCTAATGAGGGACGATAGCCACTCACGCCTAGCCTGGGTGCCATTCCGAACTTAGTCCCACCCACAACGTTTGAGGTCGGGAAGTTCGGTCTGGCATTGCTCAACAGTAGCGCGAGTTTGCTCGCACAATATCTGGCGGGCCAATCAAATTGTCAGGGCGGGCTTTATATGATGATGGACAGATGATCAACAGTAACGTAATCAACCACGT